CAAACTCCGCAGCCTTTGAGTCAGTTCTGGCCCTGTGGCTTCCCAAGACTATATAACTCTTGATGGGAGTGGTTTCAAACTGCTGGCCTGTGGTTAGCAGCCCAGTGCCTCACCACTACCCCACCAGGGCTCACATTAGGGGAGGTGACAGGTTACCACAAACCAGGCTTACTAAACAATGAGACCGACATTGGTCCACGGTCCACCTTTCAGCCAGCAGCCAAATCTCTCTGTCATCCTCACCCTCTCAACCACATGGCCCCTTGGGCCTCTGCCTCTGTGGGCCAGGAAGCCCACCCGATTCTCTGCCTTGCCATCTCAGTCTTCACACTGCTTCTCTGTTCTGCCCCATGGCCCCTGGTGCTTCTGCCACTCAGAGGTCTCGAAAGTCCAACCTTGGGACTCTTCTTCCCAGGGTCATAGAATTTCTTTCTCTTCTTGCCAAGAGGGCTCATCCTTGTAGCCGGGAGAATGGCAGCTAAACCACACCAGTCCCCTCCATTGGTGTTCACCATGCCCTATTTGCATAGTGGTACCTGGTCATTTAGTGGGGATTTCAGAGACATGGACAGAAGAGCCGTTATTAAGAAATTTAACTCCACTATACCTACCCTCCAGAAAAATGATAAAAAGGTGAGGGTAGTGGTGTGTGTACAATGCCGCTCAGTATATGCAAAGGTAAATGAGTCAGAATTGACTAAGTCAGAATTGACTAACTCAATTGCCGTGAGGTTTTGTTGTTGTTGTTTAATGAATTTTTTGTAGCAATCTTTTTTATTATGGTTGTAAAATAATATTGTCTTAGATGGAAATGCATTTTCCGTTTTGTCCATGGGAAATTTCACAGTCGTGTAAGTCACTACCTCAGTAGGAAGGCAAAGGCGTGGAGGGGCTTGGTGGTGGTGGTGGTGGGGGGGGTCGTTTTTGAAGTCAGCCGCAGGGACAGTAGCACAGGCAAGTGTGAAGAACATTTGAGCAGGCTCAGAAAGAAGCAACGCATTTCCTTTTTATGTACCTTTTGGAAAAATCGCAGATTATTGTTTTGAAATAACTTAAAAATAGAGTTTGGCAAAGAAGGAACATATTTTCTTTTGTTTATTTGTTTTTAAAAATCATTTTATTGGGGCCTCATACAGCTGTTATCATGATCCATCCATCCATCCATTGTGTCAAGCACATCTGTACATTTGTTGCCCTCAACGTTTTCAAAACATTTTCCTTCTACTTGAGCCCTTGGTATCAGCTCCTCATTTTCCCCTCCTTCCTCACCCTCCCTCATGAACCCTTGATAATTTATAAATTATTATTATTATTTTCATGTCTTACACTGACCAAGAAGGAACATATTTTCAAGGTTTTGATTTTAAGGAAAGATTTTTTTTTTCTTTTAGATTGACATAGCCTGAGATTTAAAAAAAATTTTTTTTAAGCCATCTGTTTGAAAAATGGGTAGAATAAGCAGCAAGAAAAACATAAACTGAGTTTAGGTGAGTGGGTGTAAAGTTGTCAAAATATTTAATGAAAACCTCAGCTGTTTTATATCAGTGGAGAAAGCCGATCAGACATGCATCTAAAGCAGAAAATGTTGTGGATTGTGTAAAAATGGAACCATCTGATCTCAACACTAGCAATTAGATTTTTGTTTTGTTTTGTTTTTAATCACTTTGTTGGAGGCTCTTAGAACATTCCATATGTCGATTGTGTCAAGCATATTTGTACATATGTTGCCAACATCATTTCCAAAACAGTTTCTTTCTACTCCAGCCCTTAGTATAAGTTCCTCTTCTTATCCCCTCCCTCCCCAATCCTTCCACTCTGGTGAATCCTTCATCAGTTATATATTGTTGTTATCATTTCCTATCTTACACTGTCCCTTGTCTCCCTTCACCCACATTTCTGTTGTTTGTCCCATTCAAGGGGGAGTGTTATATCCAACCTCGTGATGGGTTCCCCCTTTTTCCCCATCCCCCTCCCCGACCATCCCC